CCCCCCCCGCGCAGTTCATGGCTGACCCCATAATTCCTCTTACACTGCAAATCTGAAAGTCAGCACGCCTAAGTATACATATTCACTGTCAACTTTTACCTTTGACAATAACATACACACACAAACAAAAAAAAGTAACTCAACCATCTTTATTCATCTCTCATTTTCCATCTGTGACTAATACAACTAAACTAATACAGTTCTCTGTGCAAGCATCAAGTTGTCAGGGTGACTGCTGTCTTCCCACAGAAACCATCATTAAGTACAGAGTGTATTCCAACAGTTATTCATTGCTTAACTCTCCTTTTCTCTCTGCATTTTCCCAAAGCCTTGTTTTATTTTTTATTTTTTACAAGCCTTGTATAAATTTGCAATATGCTGCCTACATGGCAAATATAATGAATGCACAAACGAACATACAAAAAAAGGAATGCCAAATACTAATTTCAAATGTGCACGTTGGAGGTGTAAAAAAAGATATACCTGAGATGCGCTTAAGCTTGTGCTCAAGGATAATGATCAATAGCATGCCCTACAGACAAACACATCGCTGGTATAAGCTTTTATAGATTTGTTTTTACATGTCTTTTGGACTTACTCAGTAACGGGCCAGTGCTTTCAGGTTTCTACAGCCTTCTTCACAGATTTCTGATATTAACCTAATTCATAGAATCTGAGAAACTGTAATAGCATCTTCTCTTCTTTTTTCTTAATCATTAATTTGTGCCGTATTTGCAGACTGTATCGAATTTTTTTCTGTTTCCTTAAGTATCCTTACATACTGAATTCTGAAATATTTTAAGTGCTTATCATGTTCCTAAAGTTTCCTCTCCTCTCTCTCCTGCCGGACTTCATACAGACGCCACTAGAGCATAGTTTCTGCGCCTGGTTTCATAAAGGATGGAGAGAGCAAAATGGAGAAGGCAATTTATGAACATGACAACCATATTCACTCCTGAGAAAGGATGAGAGCAACCCACTGACAGACACGCTCAGACAGGTGAAACACACCATATGTTTTTCAAGGCATGATAGAATGATGTGGATATCTGTTGCCAAATGTCACAAGCTAACAATACATGTTTTAGTTGGTGTTTTTATCTGCCTAATTTAATCTTTATCAGTCTGATGTTGGACTCCACTTGATCATCTATCCCACGTCCATGCTGTCAGGGATTGCCCCGTCTTTTCCCAGGGTAATACTTGTTGGTTAAAAGAGCGCTTGACCCTGGTGTTGCTGGCTGATGTTAATATGAGGATATCAGAGCCAGCTTACAGCTGCTCTCACCCTCAACTTGCAACACCTGGAGGTCAGGGTCATTGGGCTGGCTGTTGACGCTCTCATGCTCAGCTCACGACACCTGGGGGTCAGGGTCATTGGGCTGGCTGTTGACGCTCTCATGCTCAGCTCACGACACCTGGGGGTCAGGGTCATTGGGCTGGCTGGTGAGGCTCTCATCCTCAGCTAACGACACCTGGGGGTCAGGGTCATTGGGCTGGCTGGTGAGGCTCTCATCCTCAGCTAACGACACCTGGGGGTCAGGGTCATTGGGCTGGCTGGTGAGGCTCTCATCCTCAGCTAACGACACCTGGGGGTCAGGNGCTTCACCGCCATCTGCTGTCAAATATGGGCAAAAACAGTTTCAATGCACAGTTTACACAAATCTCCAAAATATTCTGAGGGAAAGTTTTATCTATGAAACATTGTAAAGGACATAAAGATTTAGGACCTGTATTATCGGCAGTGTTTCTGGATATTGACGGTCAGGCTGCAGGCTTCTGTAAAGGTCATAAATGTACTAGTATTGAGGGTAATATGATCCCTGGGCTTTGTAGAAGTCACATGTGTCCAACTTCTCAGGCACGTGCAGGATAGTTGCCAGATTCCACCAAACCCCCCCCC